TTTTATTCGTTGTACATGCATGGCATCATCGAACTGATGGGCAATCACCGACTGCTTCGGATCATCTGGGTCACGAATCTCGGTCGACACTCCGTCAATAATGTTAATTCCGGCGGCTTGCGGAAATTCCGACGTCCTTCTTCGCCTTGCATCTCTCTTCAACCTTTCATGACCACCTGTCCGGTTACTTCCGTACGCTGCTGTTGGAGACTTTCGCTTGTACACTACGCCTTTTGAGCCACCCTCAGCCGGTGGACCGATTTCGCTTCTTACGCTGTCTTTCGTTATACAACTTTTATACCGGTCGAGCCTTTTTTTTTTGTCTTCGCTTCTTTCTTTCGGCTTTCTTTTTCGCTGGCTTGACCGAGGATCTTTTTTGGCATTTTCACGACTCATGTCAATCGCTTATGTCTGGAGCCTGGAGAACGGGAAACGGGATATAAAAAGTTGTTTTTTTTTCGCGGTGCCTTTTTCATTTTCATGACACTCGCTGTGCAATAGAGACTGCCGATGAGTTAGCCCGGCAGCAATTTTGGGATCCGTTTCGACGTTTTACGACGAGCATGGGCATATAGACTCGTGGTTCAACCCTCTGACCAGACCTTCGGTTTGTTTATATACCATCGGGCTGTCTCGGCTACTTTCCCGAACAGCTGGTATGTTCGAGCAAAGTGGGGTCCGCAGATCGACTTGAAGGAGGGAATTGGCTTTGAGGCAAATCAAATCGCGTGGGAGGTCGACATGGGATGCATGCGTGACGGAGGCATCGCTTCCCTGCTTCCTCTCACTTTTTTGTTTTCTTTTGGAATTTCGGGCCACGGCACACACACACACGCAGACATACCTGTCGTCTCTTTTCCAGCAGGAACGTTTCTCGACACATCTCACATATATTCTCTTCCTGATACGACGACCAGACATTACCGTCACTGTTACCGTTACCTCTCACCTCCGCTGAATCCTCTTCCATGGGATGGATGTGTCGATGACACCAGAACTGCTCTAAGTTCCGTTTCCCGGGAGGAGACACAGATGCATGTGTGGTTGTGTGTGTTTTTGCTTGCTTGCTGCCTCGTGGCACCAGTATTATTGTTAATGATTAGTACTATTCTTGAGTAAATAATGCGATAAATAAATAAATAAATAAATACAGTAATGCCTCTCTCATACATGTGCATGTCTCCCTCCTATGACTTTTGTAAATGTAGACAGACGATGATAGAAGTAGAGATGATGAAATCCTAGTTGACAACTAAAGAAATAAACGCAAAGGAACAGGCTGATTTTAATACTAATAATAAGCCCCTGTCCAATTTTTTGCTCGCTTCATACAGTACAGAGGTGGAGATCTCCCGACTACTAATTTGATGAAAAGATGAAGGGACCTTGGAACAACAGGTTCTGTCAGTTGGCCTATGTACTCGGTTCTGTTGTTTGTAACCATCCTTGTATTTACCCTGATACTTAGGTTTATTACAGGCCATTAATTTCATTTTTTATACATATCCATAATAATAGGTATACATACATACATACATTGCATCCATACATTATTGTGCCGGGGGTATATGTATTCTCAGAAAAAAAAAAGAAATTACCTCAATAAAAAAAAAGAAATACAACCAACAGATTATAATTTATTCATTCATCATCGTATATCTTAACCCGTTCAGAGTATTCTCTGATCCTCGAGACGTAGTTGTCTTCAATTAAGTCGCCTTTCCCGCCGGCGACGCGGAGGACCAGATCGTTGAGAGAGGCTCGGCCGAGGATGTCGACATGGTCACCTGTGCAGAAAGTATGTCAGTGAGAAGTATACGAATACGATGGGCAAGGAACGCAAGACGTGTGTACATGTGTATGCGTGTACATGCCTGTATTCGGACCACCCCGCGGCGAGAATCGATCGGGCTCGTGCGGCATCTCAAACACCTTGATCTTCACTCCTGCCGGGTTGTACCGCTTGATCCGCCACCCCTTCGAGCACATGTATCCCATGCTGAGCAGGTTGACGGTGCCGTCGCCTTCGCCCATGACCACGCCGCGGTCCACACTGCCGTCGCCCGTCGTCACTGTCGTGTCGATCGACACGTTCAGCTTCGCGAGCGGATCCCGTTCCTCCTGGTAGAAGTAGCTGCGCTCGGTGGGCTTGCCCACCCCGTAGAAGCAGTAGATCTTCATGTCAGGCGCCAGAGGCAGGCGTACTTCGAGCGGGTTCACCCACTTGCGCGGGTCGTTCTCGTTGGCTTCGACCTCCGCCCTCGTGTGGGCGATCCCCTGCGAATAGTTGTTGAAGACCTGGTTGCGGTACCAGTCTTCTGACTGATTGAAGAGATACGCCAAACTTTCCTGCATCGTGAGGTTCTTCCTGGTCCACGATGAATTGGTCTCTCGGAAATTGAGAAAGCTGCCATAACTGAAGTGCTGACCTGGCTGGTCGTCCGGCGCCCATGTCTCGTTCCCCCACACGGCATCTCCTCCCTTGGGGAGCATGCTGGAGATTCCTGGCATCGCCCGGAAGATTTCCGCCCGCTCCTCCTTGGAGAGAAACCGCTCCAGGCCGTAGACGGCAAAAGCGTTCAGCTGTGCGGTGTCTCTCATTTCGCCAGACAGCACCGCGGTCAGACCCTTGACGGCGCCCAGCATGCATCCGCTGATGTTGACCCACGAGTCGATATGCCGGTTCACCCAGTCCTTGCCCCCATTCCCATGCTTCTCACTCTCAACCCATTTAAAGAAGAACAGGACCACCTGGGAGCCCATACTGTGCGACACCAGCGTGACCTTCTCGTTCTCCACGCGGACCATCATCTCAATGTAGGACTTCAGCCGACTGAAATACTGGTCGCGATACTCGAGGTTGAGGTATGACAATCTCCAGTCGTATGCCGCCGAAAATGCGTTCGTAGGATCGTATCCGATCGAGGCCATGTTCTCGAGGATCTTATTCCAGATCCAGTAGCCCGTGATGAAGAAGTCTGTGGCGTCGAATCCCTGCGCGGCACGGAGCTTGATATTCGGCGGATCTAACCCCGTTTCCTTGTCGAGCATGATGTGATTCTTCCATCCAGCCTTGTCCATCACTAGCGCCCGCATCATGCTCCAGCTCCCCCATAGCCTCTTGCGGAAGTATTGGCGCGACTCGACGTCTGTTCCCCAGCTCTCCAGCCCTGTCGAGATGACCCCGGGGATCATTACCACCGGATGCTTCGCACGTATTCCTTGCGATTGTAGATGTAGGCCGACGGAGAAGGCGTCGTAGCTGACGGCGTCGCGTTCATGTTGCTGCCACGAATTCAGATAAGTCAGTAAATGCCAAAGAAGCTTCAATTCAAGACGAGAAAAACTTTATCTTGTTCCATACTGTAAATTCCTTTGCATCACGCAGGATGCCCTGAGGGATGACGTCGATCAACGCATCGAGATTGAGATCCATCAGCGCATCCAGGCTGATAACCTCATTCTGGTTGGCAAAGAACAGTGCGACAAAGATGCCGAACAATCCGCCCAGCAGGAAGATGAAGCTGTTGCGCCTTTTACCCCGTGGCTTTGCCAGACATCGTTTCAATCGCACGAAAGGGCTCAGACTCGGTTTTTCGTCTGGAGTCGCTGGAGCCGTGTCTTTCACATTGGTGTCGACATCAGGCGAGGAGACGCGGGGTGAGTTGTCGCTGTCGTCGCCCCGGGGCGCCTTGCCCGGACGATGGCGGAGCGTGGACATGGCCCAAAGGAGGGAGAAATGAAATGCGATTAATTTCTCTTCTTCCTTCTCGTACGGTTATTTCTGTGGAAGGTATCGACTGAAGAAAAAAGAGGGGAAAGAAAGAAAAAAAGTGAAGGCCGTCAATTCGTGTGCAAAGCAGTGCTGCAACGGGGTCGTCGTCGACAATCTTGAAAGAAGCTCCGGCCCGATTGCCTAATCCATCAATCAATCACATGAAAAAAACGTCATGTAGTATTCTGCAAACCCCGACCACGAGACGACGGGCATTGTCCAATTCAAGAATATTAAATTTCGAATTCAAGAGAAAAAAGACATTGTCGTCGCACGAAAGTCGAACAAAAAAAAAGAAAACAAGGGAGGTTGACCAGTCTGCTCTTGCAGGTCGGTGGAAGCTCTGGGGAAAAACTCGATCGGGCCGCATTCAGCAAGGTTGGTTCCCCTCGACCACAAACAGCAATCGGTCCGCCCCGCCAATGGCCTGACTTTTCCGGGTGCTTTTCCGAGTTGCCTGCCGTTGGGAATAATCTCAAGGCTAACTTGGGTAACTGCTCACTGGCAACTGCACGTACGCATGCGACGTTTTTGTCGCTTTTGTCGATCAGACAACTGCAGACGCACGTGCACACGCGTACAGACACTCGGCATCCCGTGAATTCGGATTTCGCCGACTATTATTCGAATGTTCATGGAAGCCTCTGCCTAACAACGTCAGACAATCAATCGGAACTGCTTCTCTTCTCAGCCAAGTCAAAAACTCCACTTCTCTCCTCTCCGATGACAGCGCCACGGTGACCGGGATGAGCCACGATGAAGCCGCAAAGCCCCCTACTGCACAGAAGGAGCAGCTCCGCTACGTGCGGTACGACAGCGCCCGCGAGAACGAGTACGTCGCGGCGATGCGACAGCTGATCTCCAAGGACCTGTCCGAGCCGTACAGCATCTACGTCTACCGCTACTTCCTGTACCAATGGGGCGATCTGTGCTTCATGGCCATGGACCAGCACGACAACCTGGTTGGGGTCGTCGTGTCCAAGCTCGAGCCTCACCGGGGCGGGCCACTGAGAGGCTACATCGCGATGCTGGCGGTGCGCGAGGAGTATCGAGGTAGAGGCATCGCCACGAGGCTGGTCCGGATGGCGATCGATGCGATGATTGACAGGAATGCTGATGAGGTTTGTCTCGCCCTTAAGTTCATTCTCTACAGGAAATTTATACTAACCGGAGCTGTCCTCCCCAAATAACAGATCGCTCTTGAGACAGAGGTCACCAATACCGCCGCCATGAAGCTGTACGAACGTCTGGGCTTCCTCCGCAGCAAGCGCCTCCACCGATACTACCTGAATGGCAACTCCGCCTACCGTCTCGTCCTATATCTGAAAGAAGGAGTAGGCTCGATGCCTACCTCGTTCGATTCTCACCCTCCTCCCGACACTGGGGCTACATCTGCGTCTGGCTATAATGCGGATACCGCGACTGCTACACAGCCGGTCCTGCAGCAGGAGAATGGCAAGCAGCCGCAGTAGCGGCAATAAATCTTCTCAATAGCATTTCTGCTCGGCTAGCTATGTGTCATGGGTTAGTTATGGCTTCGGCTTTCGCAACATGAGACGATAGATGGCGTGGATGAAAAGATATTTACGAGTTATACAAAATGGTGTCTTCTTAACAGGCGGGAAAGTGTCTCTTTTGATAAAGAATTTGAATAGTGATGGAACGAAATGCCTCCACAGTTGAATGAGACAGGAGCTCATCATCACAATGTCTCATTATAGAGATAGTTCCAGTGCTACTACATTTGCTCTCGAAAAAAAAATCCAATTGATAGGAGTAATCGACGTATAAATCCAATCTATAGATATGGTATGGTATATATACATACATATACACTTGTCTGAATGACCATTGCGCCTGCTCCATTCATCCATCGTCTATGGATTTCCATCTCTCGCAATGCACATCAGTTAGATATGGTACAGAGAAGCTTCATATAGCTTCATATGCAGACCCAGTAAAACCTAAAATAAGAGGGGAAATGACCAAAAAAAAAGCACATACATCGTGCCTGTCCAACAATGATAATCCCAATGTACACACATACACACGAAAATTTGGTATCTCGAGATAGCGTAACCACCATGCAAAGGGAAGAGGGACCATCCTGACGGAGAAAGAAAAAAAAAAGACAAGGAGATGCAGGCAAGCATCTTGAAGACATTGAAACGGAATTCAAGTCACTAAGTCGGAATTAGACTGTAGCCGGAAGGACGTTTGCGCCCTTCCCTCTTCTGCACTGGGATATGTATGGCATTTTTGAGGACATCTATAGTGGACGAGGGCCGGGCCTCATTCCTTCTCCACTCACGGTCCAGTACCAATGCTGCGTCCAACATCAACTCCAACGGCTCCACAGGCTCGAGTTGTTTTCCGACTTCGACGTCGTGATTAACCAGCGCTCTGGCTATGGCTTTTCGCCTCTCTCCAAGCGGTTGCGACCCAAGCAGATACAGAACAGGATTGTCCGCATACCGAGGAGGAACCATGTTCTGCAAAACGGGGGAGGGCTTGATGTCAGCCTGGTGGTACTCCAGACCAACGACGACTTTCCCAACGCTCTGCCGCCATACGTCAAGTCGAGAGCTTTCCCTGCTTCCTGACACATGTCCCATGAGGGAAGCCCTGACCATCTGCCTCATCTTCCCGCTAGTTGCCCCTTCCATGCATGCATACCTCCAGAGGACACGGCAGGTATTATAGCCTCCGTAATTAAATGCACGCAAAAACAGCGTCTCGAAATTGCTCTCGTCGAAAGGGTATCGTGGGAGCTTGACGTGTTGGAACAGGAACGACATGGCCTTGTCAATATCACGAAAGTATCGAATCACGTGGTTGAGAGTGGCGTTGTTGATAGAGATCTGTCGCTGTTTGAAGCAATCGACAAGCTGCTTCATAGCATTAAGGTCTTTCCTCGTTACGACCGTATCCAGCATCAGGTTAAGCAGCACTGTCGACAAAATCCCGCGGGAATATTCTTCTTCGAGGAACCGGATAAAACTATGGACGTCTTGGCCACTATCAAGATGTTCAGACAACATATGGCTGACATTGGCTTGGATTACATCCTCAAGAGCCCTTCGATCCTCCAGATACCCGAGATCCATCATACGTTGCATCGCATGTGCTTTGGGGGTCGGTGAGATGAGGCATTGAATATAAGCAAGCCAGGTCTGCGCGTTAGGTCGAACATGGAACCGAGACATGGAAGCCAGGATGTAGCGAAAGAAGTACTGGTCCTGTCTCTTGGCAGCGGACTGGAGGAGGATGTTGTAAGTCTCTGCAGACGCCACGGCTTCATTTCTGGAGAGGATGACGCGCGCAGACCGGAGGAACTCATTTCTACAGAGATAGTCAAGGGCCGTGTTCAACGCGTTAGTCGAGACGAATTTCTGATTGGCTTCCCTCGAAAAAAGTCTTTCGATGGTGTCTCGGACTTTGTACCTATGTTCGTATTTGGGTTGCTGGTCGCGAGGCGGACGAGAATTGACCAAAGCTCTCACATATTCAGCGAATTTTCTGACACTCAAAGTCTTTGGACTGGGGAGATTATGAAAAGAGATGGAGACGGGTTGTGCATCTGTCCCGCTCCACACCCCGCGGATTGTTGGAACAGGCAAGCCCTTCTGCTGCAGTGCGGTAACAGATGGAATGATGGGCGCGATGGGCTTTTTTAAGTCGAATTCACCGCGAGCCTGACGTTCTTGCACTCGACATATTTCCTTCTCCACCAGTTCGATCGCCAGGTCAGATCCGGACAAGACAACCTTTCGATGCGGACCTTCGCTCTCGGCAGCGTCCAACACATGAATCCGACAGCCATTACGGATCGACATGTACCAAATGTTTTCCTGCAGGTCTGTGGACCCAGACAAGAGTGAAACTGTCTCCTCTGGTACATGCAGAACTTTATGCTTCGTTGACTTGGGCCACACATGAGTTTCTTGGGCCATGCTCTCCAAAAGGACCATTATATCGGTCCAGTGGGCGGAAGGCAGCTGTTTTCCGGTGGCGCGACGCCATCGAAGTACATGCTTGCGATATCTGAACTTCATCAAGTCCCTTCCAGATAGATGCCTCACTAAGCGCAGCGCTTTCTCCTGGAAACTGAGGTTAGGAACCAATCCCCGTCTCAACAACACGGAACTCGACGGCTTTCTCCTACTAGCTCTAAGCCTTCGGATCGGAATCGAATTGGGAGACGAGTCGGCACTGGGCAATAAAACGGCTTCCGAACGCGGAGGGCTAGTAGTCAACTTGCTGTCCTTGTCGACGTCTGATACCGGCGTGTTCCCCCGCAAAAGACCGTGACCCCCATCCCGCACATCGTGCGTTTCTTGTTGGCCATAGTCCCCGGTCACGTTCGTCGGGTCAACATTCCGCAGCGACATTGAACTGGAAGGTTTCAGGTCAAGCTGTGCCTGAGCAGAACCAGCGCTGCTCATATATCTGGATGACGAGAGCCATCGCTGTGAGGTAGCGTGAACAGACAGTCGACGAGGCCGCAAGGCGTGCGAGTAATGACGCTTCTCGGGGTCATGGACGCCTTTCGTAGCTCGAGAGGCAGAATATGGCTTCTGCTGTAAAACTGAGGCGAACCAGCGAGGGTAGAGAAAGTGCAAAGGCTCGTCCGTCGGGGTAACCGCAACACGGTCCAAGAAGGAGGAAATTTTGCTTCTTCTCAGACACGGACTGCCGCGCGAAAACATAGGGATGCGAAGACCGTGTAAAAAGTCATGGACAGCGGTCCGCTTAAAGCTGTCAGAGGCAGGCAGTCCAATGCGGTTTCGTTGATGCTAGAATCATGTAGAGCTGTGTATCCTGCCTGCAACGTCAATAGCAGCGTCTCGAAAATTATTTGCGGAGCGGGAAGTTGCACCTCGAGACGATATCGGCCGCCGGACCGTCTGCGGCCAATATTTTCCGTCCTCCGAAAGTCTTAAAAGGGGTAAGAGAAAGATACCCCAAAACATGGTTATATCAAAAGAAACAGATAAAAGGATATAACTACTACATATCAATGAGGAAACAAGCTTATTATTGTTATTTATTTACCCATTTCTCACCGTCCACAATTCCAGGCTACAAGCTCTCTTCCCGGAAGACTCCAATCCAAGTATAACACAGCAATCGATAAGATGAAGAAACACCCCCCAATATCATGCTAGTCCTGCAAATTACCCCCTTTCTCCCATCTTGAACCAAAAATAAAAAGACCCGCAATTGTAGAACTCAAAGCTAGTAAATATGACCATCCTGCCCAACTCCGGCTGCTTTGGGGATGCCTTTGATCTCGCCAAATCGGTTATGGACCGGTTTCTGCTTTGGTGCCGCGTGATTCGAACCAAGCTGTCCTTCTTTCGTCACATCGAAAACCTCGTAGCCCGAGATCTGACGGCGGACAGCCTTTGCCACCCTGGTCAGGTTGTCACGCCTTCTTTTCTTTTCCTCCACTTCCTTTGAGTTTTCCCGAGAAGTCTCGCTTTCCTGCCGGGAGGCTTCGTCCACTGCATCTTGCAGACACTTGAGGAACTGCCAACGAGATGTTTGGAAGATAAACAATGATAGGATCTCGGGTATCTGAAAAAAGAGTAATGTCAGTAATAGCACCAACCAGGTAAAGAACAAAGGCCACTCAGCCGAACGTTTTCTTCAAGGTAGTGAAGCTCTTCCCCTCCCTGAGCGATGAATTTCTTCAACGCTTCTATTCTCTCGCGGTCCACGATGGCCAGTTTCAAGGCCTGCATTAGCGTCGGTATGTCTTCAATGTCCTCCACGAACGCTTCCTCAGGCGATGCGGCACTCATGCGGCCCGTGTAGGATGACGGTTGACCAGCTGGAACAGCAATACTGGATTCTCCACTGAGAAGTTTCTGGGAATGAATGGTGAAGTAATCCTCGTTCATTCTGTGCGCTAGTTCCAGTCCTGTCTGTTCAGTCCCGGCTCGTCTTCCGGTGTGGTGCTTCTTGGTCCTAAGTCGAACCCATCGCCTTCTGCGTACATACGAGTGAAACCACGGATGCGTCCCATGCCAGCCGAACTTGGAGGCAAAGGAGAACGAGTACTGCCAGCCCTCCTCGTCAACGTCGCCAGACATATCAACATACCACGACCGCCACTCCCATTCCCAGCTTGGGTCCGGAACCTGAGCGTTCGTGACGTCAACTGGGCTGTCTTTGAAGTCACGGTTAACCCAGGCAGGGGGGTCGAATTGTAGGAGAGAACGGTTTGAATAGAATGGGATACCAAAGAAGAACCAGCCCCGCTGGTTCTCGTAGAGGACATCCAGCTCGGACACAACTGAGTCGCCGACATCTTCCTCGTCTTCGGTCTGTGCCGGAACGATATTCAAGGTCTCATTGTTTGTGGCTTGCCGATCGAGCGGTTCATCAGACCTTTCCTGGGACTTATGATGGCTTGGAGATGCGGAGGAGGAATGAGATGCACCCAGAGCAGGGGCATTTTCTTGAGAGATTCCGAGCCTGTCTGGCTGCCATTTGCTATACTTCCTCCTAGTTAGCTTGCTTCTGATTGAATCCTTGGTAAGCCGTTTCGTGAGTGACGAAGACGCCGAGACCGACGCAGTTCGAGTGGCGTCCTGATCCGGCTGTTGAGAAGGTTCGGTGTTGTCGACGAGGTTGATACCCCTACTGTCTTCTGAAGTCATCGTCCCAGCTGTCGTCCCAGATTCGTATGGAGGTTCCCTCGTGCGCACAACGCCCCAGAAAGTCTAGATACCATCCACAGCAGGCTTGTCTGAGAGGGCACGACAGGGCTCCAATCGCCTTGAAAATCAGAACACATCACCGAAGAGCAGCCGGATCATGATCGGTTGCTAATACTTATTTAGATTATATTTGGCCGTTAACTGATGTGCAGGCATGGCATCTATCCACTGGCCTGTGTGGAAACACTGCTGGATGCTAAGGACAGCAAAAGAGATGTATGCATAGATCGATGGCGCAAGAAAACAGCCCGAGGCTCCAGAGACAATTCAACGTAGAATTTCGTAAGCCTTAAGAAATCTGGAAACTGGACAAGTGGGCAGAAAGCATCGCGATATCGATTACTACCTAGTAGGTACGAAAGCAGCCTGCAGCTATGACATCGTTGCCGCTCTTAGCGCCAGGCCATCGCCCAATCTGGACAGGGGCCGCCCAGCAGCATTAGGCCGGAAGGGGGATAGCCGCGATCACGGGGAAAGCGGGTACTCGGGTAAACAAGCACGCCGCCGTGACCCGCTCTCTATCCCACGCGTCTGCAGTACAATCCACGAGACACGGTTGAGGAAAACGCATCGGGGATATCGCAAGAAAAAGCAAGATGCAGGCCCCTCACTACCGCAAGATCGAATTGCAGTCGCCTGCAGACCTCACATATCTCTACGCCAATGCCGTCGCCCTCTCGCGACAGAAATTAGATCTGCATCTGCCTCCCCCCGCGAACAATGAGCCCGATCCCATGAGAGAGCGTGTCAAAGAACTTGTGGACGAGGTATGCATTGCTATGATCAATCATACGGCTTGATGGCACCCTTACCAGGCGGGAAAAAAGGGCGAAACTGAGAAAAAGACAAAGAAAAACTGACTCGTTTTCACACAGTTTATCAATCAAACATTTACCTATGCATCCGCCTCTATCAGCATCAATGGTCTTGATTTCAATCCATCGCAATTAGGAGCAAATTCCGCGAATAACGCTAAAAATCCGTTTCCCTTCCCCTCACCGTTCTCTGCTCCCGAGACCGTCGAATACGAGCCCTACGACACCGAACTGGCGGCCCGCGTCACTTCCCTGTATGCTCAACTGGAGTCGCTTACTACGACTGTCGCGCAATTGAGGCGGGATGCGCCCAAAAGAGCTGCCAAGAATTATGCGGATGCATTGACCAAGGCGCTGGAGGAGGACGATGCTGAAGCAGAGCGCTTAGATCGGCAAGCTGAACAGGGAGTACAGGATCGGGGTGATCAGGATGTTGAAATGACAGACGATGCCACAACAAAGACGAAAGACGGAACAGAAGGGGCGGGAGCCGCAATGGCGTCGTCGTCAGCCATGAAACCGGAATGGAAACTCCAGATTCCCTTTAATTCGGATAACGAAGCTGAGCGGTGGCACAATGGCGAAATGGCAGAGATCTATTCAGACTCGCTGCGAACGCTTCTTCGTCTTCAGGGTGAGGTCGTGGCAGGCGACGAGCAAGCTGACTCGGAAGAGGGAAGCAGAGCTCTGGCGACGACAGTGGGTAAGGCCGAGAGGGCGGGGAGAGCAGCCGAGGTGGTGGAAAAGATGTGAGCTTTTCCCTCTCTCTTTTTTTTTCCCGGCTTCTCATTTACCCGCGAGCCGCGAGGTCTTCTTAGAGACCTTCAACTACTTCCTACAGATTCATTTCGAAGAAGCCTGTTGGAAGCGGTTGATCGATAGATTGACCAGCTGGGTCCGGTGGGAAGCGAATCATAGGGTGCTATTTCGGGGACCTCTCGTGGCCACGATAGTAATCAAGCATGGCTGAATTCTGACCCCTTCAGAGTTCTGCAAGCCATTGAGAGTGATCCAGATTCGATAACCCAGGGGCTAGTATCGGCCGTTGCATTGCAGCAGGCAAGAAACTCCTGACATCTCACAGGAGCGGGTGTACAGACATACGTCACGGACAGCATCAGCATTCCGATAAAGGAGGGAGGAAATCCCCGACATCATACAGAAACAACCTTCCCGGGGAAGTTCGAGCCCTTGAGGGCACTGTTTCTCCTAAAGCGGAGGAAGGAAGGAGGAGGAGGAGGCTCCAAACGGATCCTATCTCGACGATCGAACAATGGTTCCAGACACGGAAAAAGGAAGAAGAAAAGACATTGCCAACGGATTGCAGTGCATCATCAGCAGCAGCAGCTTCGAAACGAAGCGAAAAAAAAAAGAACACGATTCGATACGTCAATTCAGTCAGTCAGTCAGTCTCTGTATGTAGATATCAAACCGGAAGAAGAAAGACTCATAATAAACAAATAAGTAATACTACATGCAGCCAATAATCTAGAATACTTCCCTTCCCCCCCCTACTCATCCTACTTGCTACTACTACCCTTTCTCTCTCTCTCTATCTTTATCTATTCTATTCCATTCCATTGATCATCCCATTTATTTCTTTATTTATATTAGCTAACCCTCTACCTCTGTCTTTACCCCTTTCCATTTCATTTTTCCCATTTTTTTTCTTCGTTTTTTCCCCCTGGCTCTATGATAATGTTTATGTGTGTTTTTGTTTATGTGTAATGACCATATATATCTACAGTACGTATCTTCTCCTGGGGAGAGCAAGCAAGAGGTAAAATAGAGAGAGAGAAAGAGGAAAGAGGAAAAAGTGTAACCAAAAGAGTTAGGTTGTCAGTCAGTCAGTGTTATTTGGGGGGTAAGGTTGTTGAAGATAAAGCAAGGTAGGCGTGCGACAAGGCGTACAGGCACGACGCACACGCACACATACACAGAGAGAGACCAAAAAAAATGATAAGCTGGTTTATTGCTGGATAGGAAATTAAAGAGAAAAAAAAAGTCTATGCAGTTGCCTTGGCTCCGGCCTCAGCCTCAACACCAGCTCCGGCTTCGGCAGTTTCGCTGCCGGCCGCAGGTGCCTGACCCTCCGCTGGCTTCTCAATGCCTACCTCCTCGTTCTTGATGGCAGCACTGTCGTTTTGAGCCCACTTGGGTGGCCGGGCCCATTCCTTCTCCTTCCAAGGACCCATATCGCTGAGCTGGCAGCCGCCCTCGCACTCGCAGGTGCCGCCGAATTCCTTGGGGAGATTCTCGGCCGGAACCTGCTCCAGAAGCTCCTTCTGGTAGTTACTCCCCAGAACCTTGATCTTGTCGACCGTGACCGGGTCGAGGAAGCTTTTGACGACGCTGAAGACGCTACTGAACCCCCACGGAGCATTGATCAGGTACAGCTTGCCCAGACGCTCCGGGTAGTAATTCTGCGAGATAGCAGAGGCCTGACGAACGTAGCCATATACGGATGGGACGTTGGTGATTCCCACGCCTTTCAGGTCCATGATGGTGCAGCATGTCTCGAGCAACTTGCCCGCCTTACGCGAGCACGCCGGCAACCGGGGGTCCGCCAGTTTCTCGTACTCACACACGAGGTTTTGGAGCATCCGTTCGGCGGTCGTGATCTTGTACATGGCATTGAGGTCGATCTTTCCCAGCTTCTCAATGTAGACGGGTCTCCCATCCTAATTGCAGTCAAGAATGAATTAGCATGTGTCGCGAAGGCCATGGGAGAGAGATGATCGACTCCAAAGAACCTACCTTATCCGTCTTGTGGTAATATTGCGGGTAGTATTCAAACACTTGAGGCTTCTCGGTGTACTCGAAATTCCGGACGAGGTCGTCCGTGCCAAACTCCTTTCTCCACTTCTCGCATTCGACGAACCTACGCTCGCCACCTTGTCAGTGTCTGTCTTGAAATCGAGAGGTCCATGAAAGTAGATAGAAAGGAAGGGCTCGACGTCAATGCCAGGCAGACATGACACCACGTACATAACCTTGGCCGCTTCGACATTGAACTTCCGGGCCCTCAGAAACCGCAGCAAGGTCAAAGTGTCCAAGCGCTCGGTGTATCCCAACTGCTCGAGCATGGAGCGGAGTTGAACGACCTTTGCATCCTGCTCGGGGGTCGTGTGGCCAGGATGCCCCGACTTCACCTCCGGAGCCGTCGTCGGGTAGTCATAGTCGTCGTACTTGGGGTCGAGGTTGGCGGCCTTGGGTGCGGTCTCAGCCATGATTGCTCAGTGCCAACGATCACTCGAAGGGCAGACAAAATAACACAATTGATGCTCGTCGGGGTCGATGAACTCGGTGCCAGTAGTTCAACCAAGAGAGGAGTGGGCGGGCCTGAGACAGCCGTCGACCACAAGGCAACCGAGAGCGAGAGGATACGTGTCTCGAGAAAGGAAGGGCAAGGGAGAGCGTCGTAATAAGGAGGAAAAAGTGCGGTCTGATCTCGCGAGGATGTGCACTTCTGCTTATGGTCAACTGGGGGGAAGTGGGACAGCTTGATAGCGCTGGCTCCTCTAAGGGACTTGTGGGCTGCACGACGGCGTCAGTCTAGGGAGGGAAAATCACGCCTGTTGGGCCTAGCGGGACGAGGGAGAAGGAGGCGAAAGTTTACTCACCACGGACACGAATCAATGCCCGCGGGGTCTTAATTGGGGCAAGCTGTCAGGGCTGCAGGCAGAACAGTGAGAGCGACGAGGTCAGGATGCAATATTAATTTGGCGGGCGGGCGTCCTGCGGCTTTGCGACTTCCCGCACCCGTTCATTGATCCCCCGTGCGCTTTTGACACCGTTACCAGATCCCGGCGATGTGACGTAGCTGACGCTCGCACACCAAGCCGCATCGAGATTTCACATGGCTGATGGCCTCCAGACAGCTCCCAGCTGCTCCAATCGCAACGTGGCATTCTACGAGGAACATCACAGGGACGCAGATTGGCGGTCTGGCGATGGCCGAACTGGTCGCTACGCTGCACTATCCTGGATATCCACCAGCACTAAGGAGCTACCGAACGCATGGAGCATGGAGATCATGGCAAGCAACGACAAAAACGCCACGGGTATTATTCTCAACCCACAAAATGTACCAGAACTATTATTACATGACTCGGGGCCCGTGTATCGGGCCCATGCCGAACAAGCCAGAAAACAGGATCAAAAGAAAACGAAAAACAAAAAAAAATCAAAGACAAAAACCTAGACAATCAAAAGCTCCCGCCAGTATCCATCCGTCATGGGAGAGAGGAATAACACCAAAACAATGAAAACAATGGCCAAGGTGCCCATTCCGATCCAGCGGAGTGGGGACCCTCGGCGGTTATAAACAGACCACCGCGTCTCGACAAGGGGGTGATGCACTCCACGAGACGTCAAGCAATAACGTACTTACAGTAAATGGCATCCAAAATCAATGACATAGAGCAAATGAGAACAGGGGGTATGGCGCAAAAGAAACCCCTTTCGTCCAGATCGTGAGGGGATGCAGACCAGGAAAACAGGTCGGGCATGAAAGGGGGTATCGTGAGGCTGCAAAATCAAAAAAAAAGCCGTCGTATTCATGATCATTTTCATAGGGACGTGAGCGCCACGGCGGCCTAGACCGCTGATTCGGGCCGTCCGTTCTCCCGTTCACCATCCCTTCTTCCGTGCAAAGCGCTTGTTCAACAGAGCCAGAACCTTGGACACATTGAACTGCACATATTCGAGATCCAGGTCTTCCTGGTTGTCTTTCTGCATCTCCAACAGATCGTCGAGCTTCAGATCCAGTTCAAGCAGGCCTCTTGCACGCCCTGTGATTGATTGAAATGTTAGCACACCCCCAGCTCAAAGGGGGGGGGGAAGAATCGATCGAACTGACCTTTGTAGTGCAGACTGATGACAAAAGTGCCTGGCGTGGGACTCTTGAACATAAAGTAGATGTTGGCCCGTCGATTTTCTGGGACATTGCTTTTGCGGATCACGCCCTCCTTCTCGAGTTGTTGATGAGTAAACTTGTACGGTCCGAGTTCTTGGTTCTTCTGCTGCTTTCGCTGCTTGCCCTCGGATTGACTACGAACGTTGTGTAGATACGACTTGTAGGTCTCTAGCTGGCCAACCAAATACGCGTTATGATCGCGGATGGTGCGGAACACTTCCTCCAGCTTCTTGGTCTCTTCGAGCACCTTTTCCTTCAGAGAACCGAGATGCACCAGCTCCTGCTCGATCTCATCCCGGAGCAAGCTGAAATCGTCCGAACGATCAATGACCCCCATCTCCTGGAGCTGACTGAGGAGCTCCATGGTGCGGATTCCCTTTCGGACCATGACGGCATCATTCTTGAGGGTCGCAGCCGCTTCCGCAATCCGGTCCAGGCGCAGGGGTCGGCGGAGAACGGACGAGTTGGGAGGCAAGGCACACAGGATAGGACAAAGGTCGACTTGGCCTCCATGAAGTAGACCTCTTCCTGCGTGATATCCAAGGCCGCCGTCAGATCGTCGACCGACGTTTCCCACTTGCTAAACAACGGCAGGTTGATCGTCCGGTTCTCCGAGCGAGGCACTTGAGGCGGAGCCGGTCCCAACTCCTTCAAGAGGGTATGCAGGTGAGAGTGCTGGTCCGAAGCGGCCAAGGCTTCACTGTGTTTCTCCAGCAGGGCGTGGGTGGCGTAGATTTCGTTCAGCGTGATCTGCAGCTCCAGATCTCGCTTGGTGAGAGCGACATAGTTATCCATCTCCAAACTCTCGTAGAAATCCTGCACCTCACACAGATCGAGCAGGAACTTGTTTACTCGGTCCTTGTTCTCGTGGATGAAGGGTTGCAGTTTGGCCATGTAAGGCTCCTTGGAATAAGACGGCTTATTAGCCAGGTTCTGGAGCATCTTGGCAATCAGCGTCAGCGTTCGGCGCGGCTTCTCCGTGGGCGTCGATTCGATGAGCATGTATGAACGGGGAGTGACGATGGCCGGGTTGATGAACCGCAGGAAGAAAAACCCTCCGATCAGCGTACAGATGGTCTGGTCCTGCGCATCGGGATACTTGCGGCGGGACAGACTGCGGATCTGCTTACAGATCCACCGAATGCCGTACGGAGTCTCCTCGAGGCCATTGATGATGGTCGTCAGGAATTTGTTGGCGAGGTCCGTCAGCATCTTCAACCGGGGTTCGATGATCTTCTGCACCTCTTCGTTTTCCGCAGCCACCTCGGCGGTGACGGATTTGGGCAAGTGCTCGGGTAGCGATCCGGTCTCTTCTTCGATTTGCTTGACCATGTTCTCATATACCTTCAAGGGATTGATCTCCAGGTCAACATCCTTGAGATCTTCTATAACGCTGTTGATCTGGTCCACCAGGACTTGCTTCAAAAAGCTCTGGCCGGGACCCCGACGAGTATAGGTGGTCATCATCCGAGAAACGGGAGTATTCTGGCGGAGAAGAGACGAATATTCGGGCGTGTTATCAAATTGGTACGTCAGGACGGATTGAAACATGGTCAGCAGGAGATGCTCCTCGCGACTCTCGTACTGGTTCCCGTAAATCGTGAACATCACCGTCTGCAAGAGCGAGTCGATTTCGGACATGGAGACGAGCCGGCAGAGATGGGCGATGTGTTTGGGCTCCGATTGGAGGAGGAAGAGAAGGTTGCCATATTTCTGGGTCTTTTCGTCATTCGGAAAGTAGCCCTCTTGGGGATCCGTGTTATCTTCAAGACGGCTGGCCATTTCGTTTTGCTGCAAGCCATTATTAGTCCCTGAGGATGCATAGAGAAGGAAAAAGAAAAACGTAGGAGCCACCCACTTCTTCCAATGCCATCCGATTCTGGATCAACAAGGCTATTCGCGAGTCCAGATAGCGGACATCTTTTTCGAGGACGAAATTCTTCTTCGACTGCGACGAGATTTTGGCCTTGAGCTCACGAAGGTACTTTTGGGCTAAAGAGCTAAGACGTCAATTCCGATATTCTCATGCGAGAGAGACGACAGCCAGTCCAGACGCACCTTTGGCTAAATCGTCGGAAATTTCAAGATCCTTGTCCTTCGCGGACATGGACAGATACAACGCAGTGACAGAGATGCGCTTCGATTGGCGGACGGACCGAGTGTCGTGAGAAGACATCGTGTTCTGCCGTGACACGGGTTGATAGGAAGAGGAGGAGGAAGTCGAGGCCCTGGAGGCCCTCGACGCCGGCTGGAGCATCGTAGCGACCGACATTGAGGTACACTATCTGCAGTCAGGGAATCTCGATGTGGGCAGGTTCGAGTCACGCCGCTCGGTTTTTCTTATGTCCTCGACGGGACCGCCGAAAGAGGGTTGGGACTGTCCCGGAAAGATTTCCAGCACCGTACACGCGTTTCGTCTGGTGATGACAAACCAGCGGTCTGGGATAACCCCCGTCAACACCGTAGAGTCGACACGGAGAAGTCTTCGAATTTCCCTGCCAAGACACACAATGTAGCCGATGAATCGTAATCTTCCCTTTTTCCTTCTTTTCTTGGACCAAAAAAAGGCCCCCAATTCACACCGTATCTAGACAACGACGACCCGGGAGGGTTGCTGGACCAGGCGACCCGTCACGGTAGGCCGTGAATGGAGGCTGGACAAGGACGAACCTTCAACCGACTGTGCTTCGAACGACGCAAAGAAACCAGCAAAAAAAAAAATCAACGTGGACAAGTGGGACGGCGGAGCGATTGGTCAATCGCCCAATGTCGCAGGAATGTATGCGGGCTGGGCAGCAGAGGCAGATCGCATCCAGGCGAAGACGAGGGAGAGAAGCGTCGCAGGAGGGAGGGATGTGTTGGCCGAACTGAATTTGCACAGCAGCAGAGCACGAGAGATAAGACGGAGGCCGTCAAGTGGACAGGATAGGACAGGAGACGAGACGGGGAGACGGGACCTGACAGCGCGGCAGAAGGCCAGAGAAGGCAGGACGGAGCACTGGCCAGGGACGAGGAGGGGGCGTGGGCAGGAGAAGAAGATGCATGCAACAATCCGGGGGGGGAAGAGGGGGGTTGGTAAATGGGGAGGGGGCCTGAGGATTTCGCTGGTTCGTCAATCAGAATAGGGGATTCAGCTTCAGCTTCACGATCACGAGCTAAGGTTCGTCCAAGGGGTTGGCCTTTCCTCTTTGGGGCGGCGCGGGCGGGTCCCGGGCGCCGCGGGCAAGAACGGTGATTTGCGGCAGGAGCGTTGGACGACAGGCACCGCGGTCCCTGGCGCTGCGCGGGTTAGGGGGCCTTCAGCAAGCGCAACGAGAGATGAGCGTCAGGAACACTCGAGGCATGGAAACTGGGAGAACCAGCGCTGGCAGCCGGCGTGTTCTTATTTATTCTCACATTGCCCTGCGGGTTGTTGCGTGACATTCGGGATCGAGGACGCAAGAGGAACCACGGGACCTGCCTCCCATCGTGAAACACGTCCGGCCAGGATGATCGCCCACCCAGACAGACCCTGGCAGAGGATCCCAGACCCCCAGAGCTTGCCCAGTGCCAGCCAGATCCATTGGATCCGAATCATCTAACCTTGAGTTCGTCTTCTCCAGCTCGAACCATGTCCTCCTGGGCAAGACATGTAACCGAGGGGCGAGCAAGAGGAATAATACTACGCTGTGCTACTGTGCTACAGGGACCTGCATTCACCTTAAGCGCGTTCTGCAAGAAAATGGGCCTCGATTCCTTCTCGACTGTCCTGCGGCGCTTTGTCACGCGTCTGGGCCGGCACTCCATGCCAAAAATGATGCAAGACGGATGCAAGGGAGCCCCTCCCCGCCCAAGAGCCCGAGCTTGACAGTTGCTCATGGCATTTCGGATGGATTCTACTCCGTACCTGTCCAGTAGTAGCAGCGATACGACTGAATAATCCAAGAAGCTTGGCTGATCGACGCAGCTTTCATTCCTACCCCGGGTATCGCGGGCGGGTGGCTGCTCCCTTCCCCTCACACTTGAGCGACTCTCTTTGTAAGACCGTCCTCGACGCTAGTCATGCACATCAGGCGGAGAATGACGGAGCTTAAACCAAGCCAGTCCTAGACTTAGCTCTCACCTACTCTGTAGAACTCCATAGAAAGCGGTCGTCGTGCTCGTGACTGAATTTACGATGGAATTTTAGTGTGCAAATACGGAGTACTCCGTGGACAAAGGGGCTTTGGAGGATTGGTTTGTTGTGGTCATGGCATGTAGCAGCACCAGGGGCAGCGCCAAATCCCGCAAATAGAACAAAGAAAAAAAGATCTATCGAATGCCAGAAGCCTAAGAAATTAAAAAGCAAGTAAAACCTTATTTTCTCGGTCAGTGCTACCTCCGCATTTTCCTTGTCTGTCTGCCGGTTGGTTGGGCTTGCTTTTTCCATCTTCTTCCTCTCCTTTCTTTTTTGTCCGGTAGGCTAATCGGTTACCCTGTGTAGCGCAAAGCTAGTAATCATCACGACTGGATGGGTTATGCAGGTACCGGCCAGCGGGCTGTGGATCTCTCCGAAATTAAGTTCTTGACCTTGATCAGCCGGCCTAAACTGCCACGACTGAATGCAGGTCGAGAGGCAGTGGGTCCCCACCTGACCTTAATACCAGCTTTATTATTATGTCTTACAGTAGTTAGTAAGCGGAGTTGATCATGATGTACCGAGTCCCGAGCACGGAGTACGGAGTATTATTCCTCGCATTCTTCTCTCGAAGAACTTGTCCCTGTCTCGTTTTGGATTTTCCCAAGTATGTCACACAGGATCACAAGGCTGTACCGAGTAGGTAGCGAGCTAGGTACCTTCCCAGGTGGCTCATTACCTCCTGACCCCTGTGCAAATCACCTTTATAGGCACCTACTTTTCTACGGAGCATCACGTACCTAGATACCTCTCTCTATTAGATAATAGTAGTATGTAAGACAATGACATTGACCTTGCTACTTGTTCTCAGCTTAGTTGCCAAGAACTTGTGTCCGTATTTTAGCCTCCTAACCCCACATTATTTTATTATATTCTCCTAACCAATTGCTTCTTAGGTCTTGATATATAGTGTATTACTAAGAGATATTTATCTTTTCTCCTTGAATCATTTTCGAACTGTTTTCAATGTATATAATCTACATAGAAGATTTATTCCCCTATATATTCTCCTCTTTCACCTCCCATTAAGATCCCGCGGGGGTATCTTCGTAGCAGAAAACCTGATAATGACTGCATGGTGTCGAGCCGTGAATATAGTAAATGCGACTTTTGCTGCCTTGCTGGATGAGATCAAGCCAGTACTTGAAATTGCATTCCCACCGGATGGAAGATACCTAACAACTTACCAAGCTAGGTGGAAATCAGGAATTCCCCCTGCACCACATGTTGATGTGCGACGTATAATTTAGTCTTTGCAAAAATGCTTAGCGCCTGTACTCCCATTGGTAAAATTTACACACTCCCCGGCAGAACCAGTGTAGGTTCCAATAAAATCTTCGTCATAGACCCAACCCCCATAGAACATGACTGCGCAACCTGGAGCAATTGCAGACCGGATACTATCCCAAGCTAATAGCTAGGTCAATGTGTCTTCCTTACAATCATCATGGTTTTTCTAGAGTATTGACGATATTCTCGTAAATCTATGGCTTGTCCCACATGCTGCTTTGCTGGAGTATAATATACAATACAATGCAAATACCTCAGTGGTTAATCCAAAAAAAATAATGCTAACAAACCAGAATATAGTTCCTGCGTAATTTGAGTCTAGGTTAAAAAAGGCCGTTAGTAAAGACCAAGAAACGAAAATCATGTGCTTCCAAGCCCCAAATTCATTTGATAGAGATTTTTTTTCCACTGCATATATTTATTCAGTACAGGCCTCTGAGAAGTTCGTCTTTGATTTAAAAAAAAAATCAGGTGGATTTTAATTGAATCTTACGATTTCCTATTTCGAATTTAGATTTGACTGATAGCTGGCTCTGATGAGGCTAGTGCATAAGTGCCTAATTTTAGGAGACGCATGTCAAGGTGCACCCTGATTTGCGTCAAGTGCACAATAATTACCTAAGGAAGGAGAGCAATTCTTGCTAGGGGAGGTAGTATTGCAGCCGCTAATAGTCTCTAGGCAGGTTCTGTGAAATTCTCTCAGTCTTTCTATCCTTTAAAGAGCTTTTGAATGCTTGAATGCATAGATATATTAGGGGGGAAAGGAACAAAGTTCCCGTGTGTACAAGTTAATTCGTTCCTGTTCAGAAATTATTAACATATAGACATAAAAATCCAAGAACTGACTGCATACGACCTACCTTTCTTTCGAATTTTTTTTTAAAAAAAAGCCATTTTGAAAGATAATTAAATATGGTTATAATAAGTCTCCCTTTTTAAAAGCAACCCTTCAATATATACCTGATCCTGAAAGCTTTTCCTAGTCACTCTCCTATCCCTCTACATGGCGGTGTTGGTCACTTCCGCATCCTCGGGTGGCTCTCCAAGGATGCTATTTGCACGACACCAAGTGCGGCGACTCCATCAGGGGCCTCAGGATTTCTCATATAACAATTGAATTAATTGCACTACAGTACAGGTGAACAGCACTATAGATAAAAGGATTTTCTTATCTTTAATGTTGTTCTTGTCCATGTCGTACTTCTTTCGCTTCCGGCTGCCCATATTTATCCGGGTCAATTCCATACTTCGTACAAAAAAGATAAGCCAGCTCCCCCTAGTGGGCCCAGAACTCCTCGCTCAGTACGATTGGTCAGTAAATATACGATCCGCCCAATTGCCGAGGTCGGACTCGGGGCCACTGCGGGCACTAAAGTTTAGGTCGTTTTAGCTCCCCCCCCC